TGTGAGCTTTCTCAAGTGTCTGTGGGCCAGGCAGACTTTGCTACCTTGCAATTGCTGTGTGGCTCAGCCTCAGCTGAACTGTGGTAACTTGGTTATTTCTGAGCTTATTAAAAGGGCTGAGGTACAGAAAATTAATGATTGTTTGCAGCCATTACTATGCAACATCTAATAAATTATGCAGAGATAATATCTGTGAAGTATTTTTTGAAGGCACTTAGTGGACTGAGCACTAGGTTTGCATAGTGCTAACTCTTTAAATTGGTCAGATCATCTGCAAGGGAGTGTTCCTCTTCCCCATCTATTTCCATTGATGGGTTTTGGATGCCTGCATTTAATGAAACTTCCTATTTTAATAAGTTCATATTTCGCTCTCTGATCGGAGATGTAATTTGAGAGTTGAGAAATGTATGAATGAAAACATGATTAGATCTCTGGTGGTTCCTTCCTTGCTTTTCCATCCCTACAAAATAAGGTGCTCTTCTTATTTTCAGTCTGCAGCGCTGGTAAACTGTGTAGGAAGAGCCATCAATCATTAATTTAAACTAATGTTTATTGGTGGTGTCAGTAGCCATGTTTATAAAATGCTTTCATGAAATAATAAAAACCAGCCATTTTAGTTCTTCCAATAGTAAATGAGTAACTTCACAGATGTGGTACCTGGATCAGGAGGTTTCTTAATGTACCAAAGAGTAACTGCTAAAAGCAGTTCAATGAAAGGTGATCCAGAGTGCAGGGCTTGTGAACTATTGATAGAATCTGATAAAGAAAGGAGGCAATACAGGTATTTCCATTTCTGAAAGGTCTGCTTTCTGACATGCAGAAGGCTTTCAGCTCCTGCTATGTCTGAGGCTGGCTTGGACAGAGCTGAGGTGGTGGTTGGCATCCTTTGGGCTCTTGTGAAGGAGACTGTCATGTAAAAAGTCTCATCATTAAGGCCTGCACTAAGAATTATACCTGTAGCATTTTATTTCTTTTAGTGCTGTGCCTCAGTGTGGGTATTGGCAAATCAGGAGGAGTAGTACAGTATCAAAACTGAACAGGTTGATCAGAGTCACAACAGCATTTCATAGTTTTGAGAGAAGTATATGATAATTTTTTAGGGTAACCATTTGTGGAATATTAATGTTATAATTTTGGCTTCTTGTTTTATGATTCTTGAAGTTTTCACTCCTTTTGTGTTGTTTACAGTTTGTTTTCCATAACATATTTTGTATGGTTCTTTGTATGGGTTAGGTAATCAGTTTCTTTTTTTCAAAATTCTTCTCTTCATAGACAGCAGGTCGGTTTGTTTTCCAGAGTAGGTAGTCTTTATTTGGTAAGTAAAACGTTTAGTTGCTGGAAGTCTTTGCCTCTCAGATTTGTGCATTTTTGTCTTTACTCCTATGTTTGACTCACTTTTTGTGTTCATATAGCATGGAGCAAATTAGTGTTTCTTAAGTTTAAAAAATGGAAGTAACTGCTAAGTCACTTCTCCAAAGGGAGTGTTAATCTTTACTGCTTCCTTTTACTGCTTAACTCCATTTATGTTTTGAAATCTGACAATAAACCCTGGTCAAAGTTCCTGGCTTCAAGTAGTTTTACCATGTGGTGGATAGAACTGAACAGCTAATAAATGAATTTCTTTGACTACTTGCCAGAATATCAACTAGTACAAAAATGTTGTACTGATAATCTCTCTGGTTATTCTGTATGTGTCCTCAAATTGTTTAGTGGGTTTTAAGTAAGTTAAAGTGAAAAAGTTTTCTCAGTAGATTCTAAATATAAGTCATTGCTTACAATGGAGAAGTGAAATGATGGTTTTAAATTCAGTTTATGCAGATTATAATGACAGAATAGAAAATAGTGAACATGAATGGTTATGTGCTTTACAGAAATGGCTTAAATATAAAAATCCTGAATTGAGTACTGTTCAGTAATTGTGTGTATTTATAGGGCAAGGTATAGCTTGTTTAATTCAACTATGATTTTAATATTCTACTTAAATGAACCTTCTATTCTTAAGCTGTTTAATACTCAGCAGGAGGTTGGAACTATAAAAATACTGTTTTCTGTAGTGATAAAGTAATTGGAATTAATGGTCGTCAGTAGAGATTCCCACTGTGAACAACGTGGCACAGTGACTGACTGAATGACTGAATTAAAGTAATAGGGAGAGGGGGAACACAAAAGAAACTGGAGGCTGAGCAATGCAGGAGTCGTGAGTGGAAGCATATACAAAATAGTCCATCTGCTTGGAGTTGCAAGTAGTTTTTTTTTTTAACAAAGCTTTTAGATGTTATATGCTCATCTTAAATCAATAGCTTATAAAAGAGAAACCTCTATATACAGTATTCAATATGTAGATGTGATTTCATGTTGATGGCCAGCCACATTGTGCTCTCCTCATTGAAGGAAGAAGAGGTGGAGGGTAGAAAGTATGATGTGGGGGGTAGGGGAAGAAAGGCTTATGGGTTTAGTATAGTTAAAGGAAAATTTCTTGAAGGAAAGAGAGGAAACAGTTATTCTCTACTTCCCATCAGCAGTGCTTGGCCATGTCTTGGGAAGCAGGGCCTCAATATGTGTAGTGGTTGTGTGGGAGTGTGTCATAACAAAAGCCCCTGTTCTTCTTATGAGTGTGACACAACGTGACATGAGATATCCCTTGGGTACATGTAGGCCAGCTGCCTCAGCTCCTGGCTCCAGGAAGGTTGAGGAGAGCCTTGATGCTGTGCTAGCATGAGACAAAAACATCAGTGGGATGCCAGTGCTGCTCTGTGTGGGCAGCTATGGGGAAAATGAACTGCATCCCAGCCAAACTCCACACAGTAAATCCAGTTAAAAACCAGTTAAAATGCATGAATTATATGCACACTTAGCTGGTGGTAGGATTTTGACTCTTATTTATCTTCTGTGCTACCTGGCATTTCTGTACATGCAGATAAAAGACTTGGGACCAATGTGTCAGTTGGGTGTAAAGAAGGTTCTTACACAAGCATGATATCTCATCTCTAGACTATGGGATATGAGTTTGGAAGCATAAAAGAGGTGCCTTTGCTGTTGTGATGGCATTGTACCCTTTGCAGTGTCATCAACAAAAATAGTTTGGGGTGGTTGTTTTTTGTATGTTCTGTGGAGATGCTTTAAGTAACAGTAGATTACATGCTGATACATTATGTGGTGATTTGTAGAAAGATGGCACCTTTTAAAATGGTTTTTATGGACTTGCAGCTGTCTGGGCTATGGTAGTCCTTGTGTTTTGAAAGTCTTCCTACCTTTTATCATCTGATATGCAGGCAGATGTAGTTAATCTGCGTGGTACCTTTGTATTCCTGAGTAGTGAAGAGATTTGTCAGATTTTTTAGCACAGGCTGATGTGAAATTGGAAGTAGAATAGAAATAGTTAGGTTCCATTCCATCTTCAGTTTTATAATGGTCTTCTGAATTCTGCTTGAAATGAACATATCAGTTTGATAAGCTACACAGATTGACTTTTCCTTTGGTAAGGCTTCTTCTCGCTTTGTTTTCCTTCAGAGAGAAAGTATTCTTGCATATGCTGCAAGAAAAAATGTTTGTTAAAAGCAATAGCTTAAAAAAAATCTTCTATAGCTTACCAATAAGTTGTACGTACTTGATGAAGCTATTTTATTTCCTTCATTTGATGCTTATTGATGCCTGCAGTAACACTGAGTCTTGAATGAGGAAGAGGGATAGAAAGCACACTAAAATTATGATGCAATTCCATTTTAAGTATGTCAGCTGCCATACTTCCAGGATTGTGCAACATGCGTGTTGGAGAAAATAAAATTGCCCTGTGTGTTGAAGATGACAGATTGCTTCAGTTGCATGGGTTGATTAAAAAGAATTACAGACTGTAGAATTATCAGCAGTATTCAGTTAAGTGTTGAGTTGCACAAAAACTGTTTCCTGAATGCTTGCTGTAGAGGTGGTCGTTATTTGACAGTCTCTTGAAGTGTTAGGGTTGCCTTTGACCTTAGAAGTTTCTCAGCCTATATACAGGAAACAGCACATTACCTTGATGTGTAGAAGCTTCTCATTTTCTAAGTGATTTTAGCAAAGCTGATAAACCTATTCTGAAGGAAAGTCATTGTAAAGCCATGAGACTGCTTTTAAAAGCAGGTGCCAAGCAAATAGAGTTTTTCTTCAATGATGAAAAAGATGAGATGCTTAGTTGCTTCTCTAAGATGAGCAGGAACTTTGCTATGCAAGACTGTTGTTAATGAGCTTGACTTTATTATTGCCAGCTGAATAAGCAGCTCAAAGCAGCTAAAGGAATTTTATATTAGTCTTATACCAGCTGGAGTCAGCACAGATGGCAGTAATAGTTTCCATCACAGAGCAATGATAAATGTCTGTCCTGTTGTAAACATGGAGGAGAGTTAAACAGAAATCCCAAGCAACACATTTGCTAGTTATTAAGAGTGTATTATTAAGAGCATCTATAAGATCAAGTAGCAAACAAAGTTTTTGTGAGCTCTTGCTTTGGACAACGTTACTTATTAATTCACTCATCAACATTTTTAGATTTCACAAGACAGGGAAATAAAGTATTTGGAAAGGGAGAGGAGGTAACAGATTGTATGTGCAGTCACAGTAAATTAGCATCATCTGCCTCAGATTTGGGGGAAAAAATGGAAACAATAATCAGGGAATATTTTCTTTCAGCTCATGATGGAAGTAGGGAAGAGAGGCAAAGTTTCACGCTGGGGGCTGCAGGAGTTTTGAGGAATGGCCAATGTTTAGCATTGGAAGAAAAATCCTGATTCAGAATGATTTGTAGATGAGGTGATTTAGTTGGAATTGGGTCAGAAGACACTGGTTTCTATTGGGAAGGAAAAATTGCTTTAAATCCCTTACCACGGTTTTCTGATATTATGGAAGTAATTCACAGTAATGAGAATAGACAGCTTGTAGAAGCTCTTCAAGAATTTAGGAATTGCTTTGCAAAAAAAGTTCAAGTCAAAACACTTGAAATATGTTCTCTGAAGAAATGCATCTGATTATGTGTTTGGTTTGAAGTTTATTTAGAGAAAGGAGAAGAAAGGAGGCCTTAGAGTTGTACTATCTGCATCTTTGGTCTTCTGTGCATCTTGGATCTTTGTCCTACTTCTCTGAGTATTTTGCTCTTCAGCATTGCTTTAGGTCCACAGATATTAACATCATATCAAATAATTTTTAATACTTGGTGATAAAGCAGTTCTGTAGAAAAATGAGTAATGAAGTGAGTTATAAAACTGTGTAAAAGTGATCAGCACGGGAACAGTGGCACTCTTTTTAAAAAAAGTAAATAACTAAAACTACAGACAACTATTTTTGAAAGTTACTGCATGAAGGAAAAGAAACCATTAAATAGTTGCTGAGACTGGAGCTCATTGCAGGATGTGGGTAAGAGGAACAATTGAGTGAGGCTCACAGAGGAGCCTTGTTGTGCCTTGTGGAAGAATCAAGAATCATGAAGCCTTTCTTTTCCCCCGCATTCAGAAGCTCCAGCACTTCGCATAACCCTGCAGATAGAATGTTTGACTTTGAGTTACAGTTGTTCATGTAGGACATTATTTGTTTGGATGACATCTTGGAGGAACATATCAATGTTCATGTGCTTGGGAATTGGTAAATATTGTCTCCCTTTTAATCTCATTCTGCTGTTAGCTGCAAAAGCAGAATGAAGGTAGGCTGGATGCAGGTGTGTCTACAGTCCTGGGTGATACCTAATGCTGTGTCACACCTTCTGTCTGAAGGAGATTCAGTGTGAACTTTGGTTTTATGTTCCAGGCTGTGCTAGGTCTTGGTACACAGGTGAGCTGAGAGTGAGCAGTAACTTCACACCATAGAATTCCCTGGGTGGATTTCACTGTGGCTCCCTTGGGGGGCAAACTGGATCTGACCGTGGCATTAGAATGAGAACTGGCAAACTGCTGAAGGGTAGTCAGTATTCAATGTAACTTTTCCTTTTGTGTTTATGTATTTCTTCTCTTCACATGTGAAATATTTTTGGAAAACAGTTGCTGTTGGATGATAAGACTCCCAAGAAAAGCTGCTTATAGACAGCTCTTCAAATTGGACGTGTTTTAAAAACAAGCTGATAATTTTATTTTATGTTAAAACAACAACAAGCCAAGCACAAGCATCTTTTAAGCTGACCTGTTGGTTGGAAATAATTATCTAATCTACACCTTTCTGTATTTTTTTTTCCCTTGATACCTCTTCCCCAAATTAAAAATAAAACATGTTTCTAAAATCCCACTTATAGTCACTTTTCTGCCCCTTTGAAAGCTCAATGGGGAGCTAGCTGTATACTATAATACTCTAGTCCTAAGCATTGAATTGTTTTTGTTCCTTCTCTGGAACATTTGTTACAGAGTTACCAAGATTACCAAGAGTAGTTTGTGGTACTTATTTACACAGAAATGTGATGCAGGACCTAATGTGAGACATGAAGCTCTATAGATCCCTTTCTACAGTCTGATTTTGTAGATAGGTGTCTTTCTACATAGGAAGACTATGCTGGTGTTAAGATTGGTAGGATAGGGATTATAAATGGGAATTAGGCTGTGTGTGCTTGTTGTACGATTGAGACTGTACTTATTTTCCTGAAGTTGTGTTTTTCACTCCTGTAAACAGAAATGAATAAACAGAAATGAACAATTCCTTTTTTCCTGGTTGTACTGCCTTTGATTTTCCTTGTTAGCATAGTAAACTGGAGTTGCATCACTTATTTGGACAGGTCTTATTTGCTCAGGACTTCTGTTCACAGCTTTGCTTTCAGTGGACCTCAACTTTCACAGAGCTTCCCTTTTATCATTGTTCAGTATAAGATTTGACCCGAGTATGAAACCCTCATGGGAACAAAAGGTCTGGAGGAATGTTCAAGAACTAGTTTGCTTTTGGAGCAGGATTCCTGGTTAGCTTTCATGCCAAAAGTTAGATGATGCCAATAAGGAAACAATTGTTTTTGCATTTAATGGCTCTTTCAGATGCTTGTTTGGGGCTGTTTCCTCAGGAGGAGAGAGCATGCTTTGGAGATCTTTACAGCATATTTGTATTATTGTTTCCAAAAGATATTCCTCAGAAAAACAGTGATTACATACAAGGTCTTACTACAGTATAAGAAAGAAAAGATCTGCTCCTGTGCTGAATATATTTAAAACACGCTGACTATGCAGTTTTTGTTGTTTGTGCTGTGGGTTAATCATTAATATGTAGTATATATGCCCCGGGACACAAACACTGCTTAACCCCTGGTATTTCAAGCTCTCTAGAAAAAATACAGAAAGCCTTAACTTGACTGTATATCTCTGGATGAACTAAGGCTGCATTTTTTCATGCTTAAATTCCTACTTTCCAATGTATAATTCTGTTTCTCATTTCTGATAGTGTCTGGTTTGTGTGCCATTGACTTGATCCAGGGTTATTACTTGGACCTTACCATTTCTGTTCTGCATTCATAATGCATTGTCTTCAAGTTCTTGGGTAATTTGATAGTCAAATGTTGAAGGACGATGAGTCTGGCCATTCATTAGGTTATCATTCATGTTACTGCAACTTTAAGTGCTGCCTTATGGTAGCTTTTTCTACTTTGTTTTTCCAATTAACATTATGTATGTAGAACAGGTGACATATTTCTTCAGTGCTGCTTCAGAGTCTGATTCCATTGTATGAAAGTCCATCTTCTCATACAGAAGAGGACAGATCCAGTTGCTTATTTGACCTGGGAGATTTATGCTGAACTCCCCATCTGGATCACGAGTGGCTTACAGAGCTCTCCTGCACACACCCTTATCTTGTGCTCATCACATCTGACTGGACTGTTGCTCTGGAAACCGTTGTAATGTCACAAGTGACTTCATTATGATTAAATGAGGGGAAGAAAGTAGAACAAAAGCGCGCATTCCTGTTTAAACATGCAACTTGGAAACTGCAACTGTCTCACATACATTTCAGGGCATTTCTTGGTAACAGTGTGCAACTCTGCCTTGCTAGTTAAATAACAGCAGTTTCACACTATACATTTTATTATTTCCTTCAAATAGTCTGTAGGCAATTGATGCAGTCACAAGGATGTTTTTTAGAACTCTTATTATATGGATCTGCAAAACAGAAACGCACTGATAATTATTTACCATACTACCTTGTCCACCACAGACTTAGTTCTCTTTAAACTGAAAATCCTCTAGTTTCCAATTATACCTGGCTTTATTTTCCTTTTATCTGTAATATCAACATAGTATTCGAGTCTCTAAAGCAGGTTCATGACTGAAATTAAATAAAGATTGTAGAAATACTGCAAAATTTTACGGCACTACCTTGACACTGATCCCACTAGGTTTCAGTCTTCTGTGATCATCACAGAATCATTAAGGTTGGAAAACACCTTTAAGATCATCTAGTCCAACAGTCAATTCATCACCACCATGCCCACTAAACCTCACCTCTCAGTGCCACATCTACACCTTTCTTGAATACCTCCAGTGGTGGTGATTCCACCACCTCCGTGGGCAGCCTCCTCTGGTGCATCACCACTCTTCTGAGAAGAAATTTTTCTTAATGTTCAACCTGAACCTCCCCTGGCACAACTTGAGGCCATTACCTCTTGTTCTGTCACTAATTACCTGGGAAAAGAGGCTGGCCCCTGCCTTGCTGCACCCTTCTTTGAGGTAGTTGTAGAGAATAAGATCTCTCCTGAGCCTCCTCTACTCCAGACTAATCCCAGTTCTCCCAGCTGCTTCTTGAGCAGTAAGACTTGTGCTCCAGACACTTAATCAGCTTTGTTACCCTTCTTTGGGTATGCTCCAGGGCCCCAGTGCCTTCTTGTAGTGAGAGGCCCAGCAGTGAACACAGTATTTGAGGTGTGGCCTCAGTGCTGAGTAGAGAGGGGCAATCACCTCCCTGCTCCTACCAACTGCACTATTTCTGTTACAAGCCAGGATGCTATTAGTGTTCCTGGCCCTCTGGGCACACTGTTGGCTCATGTTTAGCTGGCTGTCATGTAACACATCCAGATCCTTTTCCTTTGCACAGCTTGCCAGCCACTCTACCCCCAACCAATAGTGATGCATGGGGTTGTGACAGGAGTGAAGGAACTGGTGTTTGGTCTTGTGGAACTTGAATTGGTCTCATGCCATCTATCCAGCCTGTCTTGATCTCTCTCTAGAGTCTGTGTTCATCTCCCTTAGGGTAGGGAGGCCCTGCAGACATCTTTCCAGCTTGGTGTCGTCTGCAAACTTAGTGTGAGTGCACTTCATCCATTTGTCCAGTCATTGGTAAAGATTTTAAGCAGGCCTGGCCCTGATACTGAACCCTGGCGAATGCCACTAGTGACTGGTCATCAGTTGAATTTAATTATATTCTCTGCCACTCTCTGGGCCTAGCCATCCAGCTAGCTGTTTTAAGGAACTATAGTACACCTGGGGAGCACAGAGTTATGGATTCCTAGTACCATCCATTTTTATTTTTTATTTTTTTTACCCTGCAGCTCTTTTCCCTTCAAGCAGGAGGAGAGCAGGAAATGAGCAACTCTGCAGGGCTCCCACCATGCCCTGGCTTGACTGCGTATGTTGCCAGACGGATACCTGGCTAATAAGCTCTGCTGGTCTCACTGCCCTTCAGCTGCTGGTCTGGGTTACCTCCTGCTTTCTGTTCTAGTGCAGAGTATTGCTGATCTCAGGCTTGTTTGCTGGGTGTCTTCCCAGGGCTAGTTCTGATGTGTTGGAGACAGTCCCTGTGCTGAGTCTGGCAACAAAGACGAGTGTGAATTCATCTGTGTCATGGTTAGGAGTGCTCCTTGCTATCTCTGTTCTGTGCAGAGCTGTAATCAAATTTAAAGCTCTAACAGTTCTGAATAAGGTTTAGTAAATGCATTTCTATTAAGATTTTAAGTGATGGAGCTGAGGGATGCACATTCCAGAAGAACTGAGCTCAGTCATGTTGATCATAGGAGCAGCCTGACAAGTGCCATCGCAGGTGAGAAGGGTGAATCTGGAACATTTAAATCCATCTTTTTTTTTTCTCTTTGTTCAAATTTTTTATTGTTGCTGGGTTGTTACATTAAAATAAGTAGCTGGCTTTAGGGGGATAGTGTAACTGAAGTGTCTGAAATATGTGAAATAAACAAGGTGAGGCAAGCTGTTGAGACACAAGTAGTTTATCCTTCGGTTATAGCCATGTGAAATGGTGAAATCTGGCATTTGAAGCCACTGATAAACTTTGAATTCATTAGTACTTTTGAGTCAATTGTCCTTTTTGTCTGTAATAGTGTCTAGCACCTCCTTTTCATTGCAAAGCAAAATGAGTAAGCCAATCCTGAGTAATACATGAATTATCTTTTCCATTATATCTCAGGAAATTCTGATTGTTTTTAAGGCTTACATGCGACTGATCTCTTACCTGAGGAATGTGTCCACTCCCGTTATTGTATAAGTATGTGGTGTAGCTATTAATATGAAACTGTTGTTCAGTTGTTCTTTCTGGAAAAATGATTAGCAGTATCAAAGGAGGTATATTTTCTCATACAAAGCAATCATCTCTGTAGGTAAGTGTTGATAAGCATCTTATCTCTAAGAATCTTAGCTTGATATACAAATACAATACTGTTGATTTTGTAGCTGGGATCTGAAGTTGAGTTTTGATTTATAAATTCAGATCACAATATGAAGATAGGCAATAGTCATGTTGTTACTGCTGCTACACATTTACATAAAAAATACACCGTTATGTTCTGTTAATCCGTCACTGGTCTTGTGAATGATCATCAGTTTAATAAATTACAGTATGTAAACAGGTAATAAATAGAATTCACACAGACTTACTTTCTTTACATGCTGTTACTGAACAAATCATTATTTATTACTATTTTTTATAGCAGATACATGCTTTACTGAGGCACCGTAGATGTGAGAGGTCAGTTCTTTCTCAGTCACTATTTATAGGCTGGCCTGCAATGCTCACGTGATACTGTTTGCAATCTTGGATATTTATATTATCACAGATGCTGTGGCAAAGTTTCTCACTATTTCCATTATACAGTCCTGTTTCCAAGCAGTGTGCCTAGTGCCTAACAAAGCTTGGCATGAAGACTGAGAATGTTCTTCCTCTTCAAATGGAATAAATGCTTCCTTCGTGTTCTTGCGAGAATTATGTGATTGTAAAAGGTCTCTCTTCTCCCAACAGTTGATTAAGAGAGTCTCACGAGATGTTTGGAGAGCACTGTATTGATATAACAAATTGTCTTAGGACAGCAGTAAATGTGCTACTTACAAAAAAGAAAAAAAGAATTCAAATCATGTTTAGGTTTTTACAGTTGCCTTTGTGAAGATTTCTCCCAGCTATAGATGTACAGAACAGAATCTTGGTGCTCAGTTCCTGTTTGTTTCACCTTATGTGAAGACTCCAGGACCTTTGTTTGCTCACTAGCACTCACACTACTCCAACTAGATCCTGTGAGGCAGAAGTTTGGTGTCATAGGTGGATAGTGGTTGTATCTCCACATACATCTGCTAGCTGCCACTCTAAGTGCATGGGGAAATGGTCTTTCTCTTCCTCTTGCTCTCTACTCTCTTTCCCCTACCTCCAATGCCCAAAGGGTGAAGAGTTTTATTTATTATGCTTGATTCATTGCAGAAGAGGATTTGCATGTGAGACACCCACTGAGCAAAGTCAGAAGAGGAGCTAATGAGACTTCAGTGTATTGAAGATATATCCCTCTATGAGATGAAATGATACAAATGCTCTTTTGGTTTGACAAACTGGAGTTGCACTTGATTTAATGTAAGCAGTGCTATCTTCCAGGGTATTCAAAGACGAGATGTAGAAAATCCTTGAAGCTTCTGCAGTGCTCCACAAAAACAAATCTGTACTTACTTGTAGTTGCCCAACAATCAAGAGATACTGTTCTCATAGTAACTGAAGTGCTTACTTCAAATGTCCTCGTACAAATTAGACCTAAAAAGTGGCATTTGGAAAAGCTAGGCTTTCCATTTAAAGGTTTATATTTTTATACATCCTTATTTTATGTAGTTAACTTGTTTTTGGCTTAGTGTGACAGTGAATTTTTATACAACTTATTTATATGGAGCTTACTTAACCAAAACTAATGTTACGTCTGTTGCATCTGTTAGAGACAGGTCTTGTTGGCATAAAACAAATAAAAAAAAAACTTACCTAAGTTAGGATAATTGCTCTTTTTCTTTTAGCTGCAGTTGTTGCACAGAGTAGCTGTATGTGCATTCAGGAATACATTCAGAGAATGTGCATTTTTGTGAGAGGTGGTACAAGGTACTTTAAGTAGAAACAGTTGCAGCCACTGGATTTATAGTACTGGGGATGGAAAACAGTGTCAGTATGTGATGGAAGCTTTTATGTGTTACATTTATCTTGATCTTCAATTTATAGAAAATAATGTATTGCAGTCTGATAAGAACACAGCTAAGAATAAAACCTTTTTCCCCCTCCTTTAAATTAGGAAATAAAAATGCAGTCTCTGGTCTTGATTTTTTTTTTCCTTGAGTATTTTTTCTTGGGTACAGCTCTTGAATTAGTGACACCTTGAGTGTGTTTGAAATGCAGATGGCTTCACATCCCAACATTTCATATTTCATTGTACAGATTGCTCCTAAAGAGTAGGAGGATATATTTGTGCTTCGCATCTCACTACAATCATCTTGGCTTAGACTTCTGTATCACCTTTTTTCTAATATCTTTGCTTTAAATCTGCAACATGTTATTCTGAAACAGTGGTAATTTCAATAATGAGTACAGTAAAGGGAGGAAAGTGATCAAGGAGTTTTGCAATTAAGTTACCAACACTTTTTTTTTTTTTAAATAATGTCAGTCTGAAGTATTGACAGCATTTTTGAAAGGCCTGACTGGAGTATTTTATACAGACAGGGCACCGATGTTGTATTTTGGAGGATAGGAATTAACAGAATCAGAATCATCAAGGTTGAAAAATGCCTCTAAGATCATCTAATCCAAATGTCAACTCATCATCACCATGCCCACAAAGCCATGCCTCTCAGTGCCACATCTATTTCTTAAACACCTCCAGGGATGGTGACTCCACCAGCTCCCTGGGCAGCCCGTTCCAATATCTCACCACTCTTTGGAGAAGAATTTTTTCCTAACATCCAACCTGAACCTCCCCTGGTGCAACTTGAGGCCGTTACCTCTTGTGCTATCATTAGTACATGGGAGAAGAGGCCAATCTCAGCCTTTCTGCACCCTTCTTTGAGGTAGTTGCAGTGACTGATAAAGTCTCCCCTGAGCCTTCTCTTCTCTGAACTAAGCACTCCCAGTTCCCTCAGCTGCTTCTTGTAAGACTGTTGTAACTCACCGTTTGTTTTACTGTTTTACCTTTGATTAGGCTATTAAAAATCATAAGCTTAGAGGTGAGCCATGTGCCCTTTTAAAATCTTAT